CTCCCCGCGCAGGCGCGCGAGCCGCTTCCGGGACGGCGGGGCGTCCCCGGCCTCGTTTGGCCCGTTGCCCTTTCCGTAGACGCGGGGGCGGGGCTTCGCTCGCCGGCGCCGGCCCCGGCCCCAGCGGCAGGTTAGACTCACTCAAAGTTAGACTCGTACGCGAACCCAGTCTTTCCGGGCTCCGTGTTGTCCCTCCCGCTCTACATAGTCTTGCCCTTCTTCCGCGGGTGCGCGCTTTGCAACCATGATTGATTCAGCAAACCACGATCGGCTGTATTCACAGGTCCTGCTGATTGCCTCCTCGTTTCTGCATGAACGCCATTCCTGTTTGAGTTGTTTGCCTCAAAGTTAAGCCCCCTTCACCAAAAGGAGAACCTCATTTAAAAGGAACTCAGCTTAGGACCTCTTCAAATGCAGCCCCCAGTCCCTAACTGGCTGGGTTAAGCGTGTCGTGGGAACCCAGCAGCTAAAGCTGCCGCTTAGCTGGTTGTGAAGACAAGCCCGCAGTTTTCAGTGGGACTCCTTAAGCAGGAAGTAAACGTGGATTGCTGTGAAAGGTTGCAAATTTGAAATCTGCAGGGCCAGGTTTCAACCTCCTCCCCTTCCTATTGTTGCATTACAACATAGCACCCCCCCACCCCAAACACGCTGGCTGGGGATGTTGGGAGATGTAGTCCTGCCCAAACAGAAAGCTCCAGGCTGTGGGAAGCTACTGACGTTGGGGGGAGCGTGTGTGTAAAACATTAATTAACTTGCCACAAATTTTAGGGTTCCCTCATTTCACGATTTACATATCTCCATTTACACCCCAATACCGCTGGCCGCAATTCATGCCTCCAAAGCAGCGTTCCTCAACCATGGCAACTTTAAGATGGGTGGGCTTCAACTCCCAGAATTCCCCAGCCAGCACGGGTGGGATGGAATGGGGGATTTTGGAACAAAGTAACAATATATATGCTCCAGAACTGACCTTAACTAGTTACTAAGATCAAAGTGGAAAGAAAGGCTGTAGCGTAGTTTTCCACTTGGATCTTAACAACTAGTTAGGGTCAATTCTGAGGCATACATGCTTCTTTGTTCCAAAATCTCCCATTCCATAGGGCAGTGTTGTCCAACCTTGGCCACTTTAAGATGAGTGGACTTCAACTCCCAGAATTCCCCAGCCAGCATAAGTCCACTCATCTTAAAGTGGCCAAGTTTGGACAACACTGCCATAGGTGGACTTCAACTCCCAGAATTCCCCAGCCAGCATAAGTCCACTCATCTTAAAGTGGCCAAGTTTGGACAACACTGCCATAGGTGGACTTCAACTCCCAGAATTCCCCAGCCAGCATAAGTCCACTCATCTTAAAGTGGCCAAGTTTGGACAACACTGCCATAGGTGGACTTCAACTCCCAGAATTCTCCAGTGAGCAAGCTTTAGGATGGGAGGTCTTCAACTCCCAGAACTCCCCAGCCAGCATGGGTGGGATGGAATGGGGGATTTTGGAACAAAGAAACATTATTATGCCCCAGAATTGACCTTAACTAGTTACTAAGTTCAGCCCCTCGTTCCTCTTAGCAACTACTTATGGTCAATTCTGGACATACACAATATGTCTTCATTCCAAAATCAGGGGGGCTTCAACCCCCAGAATTCCCCAGCCAGGAGGATCCTGGGAACGTTTCTGGCCCAACTTTCCCAGTGGAAATTCCCAGGAATTTCTTCCCCGCGATTGCAGGCTCTGGCCGGCGCTACCCAAGCGGAGGCTGGACTGGGCTATTCCGCTCCCCCGCCTACCCTTTCCCCCGCCTCCTTCATTTGCATCTCCTGACGTCACGGGCCTCTGCGCCAATCCCCGAAGAGAAAAGGGGGAGACCCCGCGCGAGGCAGGACCGGGAAGGCAAAGCGGGGCTTGCAGACCCCGGAAGAGCAGCGATCGCCGGTGCGGCCCTTGCGCGCTCCTTTCCGCGGGGTTATGCATGGCTGAAATTCCG